GCCCGTCCAGACGGCGGCTCCCGGGCTCCTTCTCGCCCAGCGGCGGCCCGAGGGAGAGTCCTGAGCAGGCGAGCCGGAGACGAAGAGGCTGGAGCGGCGGCAGCTGCGGCCGCTGACTAGCTGTCTGCCGCCGGCCGGCGAGAGCCGGAGGGTAACCCGCGAGCGCAGCGCGCTGACAAAGCGGGCGCTACCAAGCGCTATCGGGAGGGGGATCCGCGGAACCCGAGCCCGGCGCGACCAGGCTGGGACTCCCAGAACCGGTGTGATACTGCTCTGAGAGGAAGCAGAGCTTAAGCTGCTCGTAGGGTGGAGGCTCTGGGAGGTTCCAAGTAACACGTGTCCCTTGGAGCGGTTTTAAAGAAATGAGCCTCCCCTTCCGCTGGCTGGAATGGAAACGCCCACAGGCTGGGCCTCTCAAGACAGTTCCAGGGCTCTGGCCTGAGGACACGTGTGTGTCCCAGGGCAAGACAGGATTTGAATGTGCTTGTGAGTGTGCGTGTGAATCCGGCAACGGGCGTCCGCCTCCGGCCCTTTCGGCTGGATGTATTGGGTTAAATGAAATTAAGCACGATGAAGCCGGGACTGGGTGCGAGGGCGATGCTGGCTAGGACCACGTACCTTTCCTCAAGGATGTTATACTCAGGCCATGGGAGCCAAAGGTAGTGATAGAAATCAGACCTTACAGCTCTACAAGTAGATTGAGATCATTGCCACGGGGTGCCTCAGTTTGGCGATAAAGGTCGTAACAGGCCTGGGGTTTCTAGGAGGTGTATTAGAAGAATTGGCATTTGGGTTGGGCCGTTACTTGGAGGCCTAGGATTTACACTTGTGGAATTTAGGAGGGGGAGTGGTGGTGGTGATTTTTATACATGAAGAAAATAAGAAAGCCCTGGGTGTATTTGAGGAAACAACTCTTAGTTCTGTAGGATGGAAGCTAAGGAGTAAGAAGACAGATGCTCAGATAGGTTATACTGCGGAAGTCAGAGATCACACTAGACCTAATTTGGTAGGAAATGGTGAACTGTTCATGTGTTGTGAGCTGGGCAGGGATATGACTTAAGGCTGTGTTTTAATTGGTGGTCATGTATCACCGAAAAGGCAGGAGACAGTAGACCAAATGATATGACAGATATTCTAGACCTGCATCTGGTACTGGAAAAGAATGAATGGAAGAAATATCTCAGATAGACTGGGCAGGAAGTGATGACTAACCAAGGATGGAAGCGGAGTGAGGGGGAAAGATACTCAAGACAAGATTCCTCTCTGAATGACTTACAAGTTACAAATGTTTTCTTGTTGGTTTTCCCGTGATTTTGCTGATTTTCCTGTCTTGTGGAGTTGGAAGCTTTTCACTACCAAGGATATTCAAAACATTTTTCAGACCTGGGCTCAGATCTAACACCCAGAGGGTGTGGCTACGTCAACTGGCACAAATTGATCATAACTCCTGGGAGACAAGCGCCTTGGCAAATTATTAAGTCTCTTAGTTTCAGTTTCCTTATCTATAATAACGGATAGAATCATACCTTAGTCATTAGGTGAAGTCAAAGGTGATGATAAAATTAATCCATAAAAAGTGTTTTCTAAATATAGCAAAATGTTGAATTACAATCTATATGTGAGTTCACTTACAATTCTTTCTCTTTTCCATGTCTTTGGAGAAATTCATAATGGAGTATTGGAAGAAAAGTGCTTTGAAAAATGAAAAGTACTGTTCAAATATAAACTGTCATTATTAAAAAGGATTCAAAGAGCATGCTGTCCTGAAAGTAGCTCAATAGTATTATTTTTGTTGTATGTTAAATACTGTACACCTTAAGCTATCAGAAAAATATAAAAGCTTTATTCACTTCAAAAGAGTATTCAGTAAGCATTTGTTGAGTACATAGTATGTGGCAGTCTCTGTGTTAGGGGATACAAAAGTGAGCTGAACAAAGTCTGCTCACAGTTAAGTGGATGAGACATTGTATAAACAAAATATTTATAATTATCTAGTAATAAATACAGTATCATGACATGAACAAGGTACTGTGGAAACACAGAAGAGGAAGTAGTTAATTGCTGGGAGAAGTCAGGAGAGGCTTTTTGAACAAGGTGACTTCCAGGCAGAAAGGGCTGACAGGGGAGATCCACTGAGAACAGAAAGGGAAGGAGAGGAGGGATGTTCCGGGAACAGCAAGTACAAGTACCACACTTTGATAAGGCTACAGCACAGGGTGCCCATAAAGAAGTGGCAGAAATGAGGCAGAAGCTGTGGGCAAGAAACAAAGCATCAAGGGTTTTCAAAGGAGTTTGCACTTTATCCTGAAGGTTCTGGGGAACCTCTGAAAGACAGGCTGGAAAGATCATCTGTCAGCAGTGTGGAGAGTGGATGGGAGATGGGGGAAGAATAAGAACAGTGCCAGTGAGGAAGTGTACCTGCTGGTTCAGAATCTCAGGGGAGGGGCTGGTAGGCATGCTTGTTTAAAACAAACCAGGTGATTCTGATGCACATCCCTCTCCCTCCCTCAACACTACCTCCCAAACAAATTGGGGCAGTGATAGTGGAAAAGAGACAGGTTTAAGAACTATAAAGGAGACAGAAGCCACAGGGTTGAGTGACAGATTAAATCTGGGGGTCAGGGAAGGGAGGGCAGAGTCTAGGTAGGACTTGGGTGATTGGTAGGTAATGGTAGCAAATAAGGAAATTGGGTGGAGATGCCTCTCTCAGGGAGGACTGTGAGTTCAGATCAGAACCTGTCATTGAGATGTGCCCGTGGAACACCCAGATGGAGTTAATTTGTAGGCAAATAAAACTAAAGACCTGGAGTTCATAGCAGGGTCAGGGCCAAACACTTCAGAGAGTTTAGTAGTTGTGATTCAGGAAAACAGATGTAGGGCATGAGAAGGGCCATGTCCCAGGTCTTGGTTGAGCCCCTGGAACGTGCCCCGCCAAATGTGGGTCCTTGGCTTCACACAGGAAGAATCCAAGTGCAAGCCACCATTGAGTAAATGTAGACTTATTTAGAGAGATACATACTGCATAGAGTGTAAGGCAAGAGAAAGGCAAGAAAAGAGGTATGGGAATTGGGTACTCAGGTTAGACAGAGTGTGGGCCATCTCCAAAGAGGAGGGAGCGAAAAAGTCCCCTAGGCGTGGTGTTGTCAGTTTTTATGGTCTCAGTAGCTTCATATGCCTCCAAGTGGGACCATTCCAATTGCCCTGGGGAAAGGGCTGAGGTTACCAGGAATTAGGCCATCGCCCATTCTTTGGCCTTTTTCGGTTAGCCTTGGGACTGTCATGGCGCCTGTGGGCATGTTATTTGATTACGCTGTTACAATGAGCATATAATGAAGCTCAAGGTCACCTAGAAGTCAAACCTCTTAATTCTCAAGGCCAACTAGGAGGTGAGTCTTCCACCATTTTGATGAATCTTCCACCATTTTGGTGTTAAATTGCTGTCATTCCTTGAGTGGCTGTGCCCTGCCCCCTTCCATCCTGTCTCAGCTGGATCCATGGGTAATGAGATCACCCACAAAAAGTCCTTTAAGTAAGTTAAGAAAAGTGTTAAGGATGAAATTCCTGTGAAACACACACCTTTAAGGATGGTTGGAAGGGAAGGAGACTTGAGACCTGGTCAGAGAAGGAGAACAGAGAGAGATTAGTATCTTCGAAATAAGGTAACAAGGCTGGAACAGTGATGAGTGCTCCTAAGAGGTCAAGGTCCTTTGGATTTGACAATTACAAGGTTGCTCTTTATGTGAATAGTAGCAGGTTGGCGAGATGGTGGTGGAAACCAGATTGCAGTTGTCAGTGGGCCTGGAAGGCAGGAGACCAATGAAAAAACAGTGGGATAAAAAGCCAGGTGAATTTTCTTTTCCTCTGAAAATTGGAGCAAACTGAAAATATAAATTGAGGAGAAGGAGCCAAGAAACAGAAGTTGTAGTTTTTCTCCTACTGAGAAGTTCTGCTTAGCGCTGCTGTTTGCGCAGCAGTTCCACTAGTTCCTTTGTCTATTAAAGTCTGACTTCAGCTGTCTGAAGTGAAGCTGTATATACACACATATATATGTTACCGAACAAAATTCGTGTGTCTGGCGCACAGTGAGGGCAAATAAAGGAGTTTGGAGCAGAGAAAGGTTCACTGCAGGACGGAGCAAGGACAGGTGGCTTATGCTCAGAAAAACCTAAATGGTTTTCAGGAAAAAGTTTTTATAGACAAAATTTGGAGTGAGGGCTGCAGGGTGTGTGACTTTTTTCTGATTGATTGGTGGTGATGTCACAGGGCAGTGTCCAGAAACCTATGCTCAGCCTGAAGTAACCATCCTCCATCTGGGTGGGAGCCTTAGTTGCTGCAGAACTCAAAGGTATTATTAAGTATATCCCTTGAGGAGGAAGCAGGATCCTGCTTTAATAGCTACATTATCCTTTCTTGACTGCTCCTCCCTTGTCTCTGCATCCCCTCCCTTCCCTGATTAGCAACTGTGTGAATCTGCCCTTTGGAACTCAGGGAACGACAAGGGGGCTGAAGGAAGCCCATTTCCTATGAACAAGAAATGGAGGACACGGAAAGGATTTGTACCAGGAAGGACCCCTCAGTGTCCTGCTCTGTTTCATTTACACACACACACACACACACACATATATATATATACACACACACACATAATGTGGTCATGAGGGCAAGAGAAATCTCTCTCCCTCTTCTTATAAGGCTACCTACCAATCCTGTCGGATCAGAGCCCTACCCTTATGACCTCATTTAACTTTTTTTAAGGTTTTTTTGGGGTGAGAGGAGGTAATTAGTTTTATTTATTGCGGAGGTACTGGGGATTAAACCCAGGACCTCGTACATGCTAATCATGTGCTCTACCACTAGAGCTATACCCTCTCTCCACACCTTAATTATCTTCTTGAAGACATTATCTCCGAATATAGTCATATTGGAGGTTAGGGCTTCACAATATGAGTTTGGGTTGGGGCGGGGGGACACAATTCAGTCCATAGCACTGTCAAAGACCAGAACTATATCAGTCAAAGAGTAGTCAAAACAAAACAAAGTAATGAAGGCTCTAATTCTATCACTATAAATTATTTTTCAGCTTTTAACACCTGAAGTGATATCATCTTTGCTATATTTAAAAATGCAGAAAAATTCCAATTGCTTTGACTGTATTTTTATAGTCATTAAAGATATTCATTCAAAAATCTATGTTAGACTCTTTTGGAGATTTTTCCTTCATTATATCCCTTTTCTCAAATGGTAACACTGTTCCATGTGTCTTTTCAGAGGATCAACAGGTATCCTGGACCAGGAGAACATGGCTCTCAGACTTCTTACTGGGACTGCAAAGGTATGATTGATCTGTGCCCTCAGGGGCTTTGTTCTAACACTCTTCACCACCGTGGAACTGGGGCCTTATTTCTCACAAAGTCCTCCAGGCCACAGATGGGCTGGCTGGGTACACTAAGGCAGGCGTGTTCCTTTGAGATGGGGGGAGGGGGGCTACACTGAAGGGTGAATTTGGCTGGAGAGCTCCCTAGCACCTTTCCAAACTCTTATAACTGCACTGCCACCGATGATCCCTCCTTCCTTTCTTCCTCCCTTCCCTCTTTCTCATCCTGCTTCAGACCCTAGGATGCAGACCACTCTGCAGAATGACAGCTCTCTCAGCCTCCTGCAGGCAACTTCCCCAGTTTCTCAGGCCTTGCTCTAATAAATCTTGTGCGTGTTTCAAATGCTAATTCCCAAATATCACTCATGAGATAAAACCGAATTTATTGCTCACCATTGAAAGGGGAGTTACACCTCAGAGAGCCTGGTTCATGGTTCAAAGGGGGAAGAGCAAGGCCTGGTTTTATTGAGATTTTGAAGTTTGGTTTAAGGCAGGTCTATCAATGAGGGGATCTGGTATGAACTGTGATGCAATTGTAATTTAGGATTGGTGGAAACAGCAAGGCAAAGAATATGAAGCCAGGAATCCAAAGAGTGTTGGTAGGAAAACTGTGGATGCTTTTTATTAAAGAGTTGATGATCTTTCAAACAAGTTCCTGTAATGAGCAATAAAGTTATTTGCCTGGGCAAGAGTCTCCTGCAATAGTAAAGTTATGCTAAAGAAGACTAAGGAACAGTAAGTCATGTTAATGTAGACTATAAACTATGAAAGTAGGTAGTTTCGGTTTTCATAGTTAATTACTTCTTGATGTCTACTTTTTGGATGACACAGACTTACACAGGTACCAATATAAAAGCAAATTAAAAAACCTTGTTTTCGTTGACATAGTAATGAACACTCAAACTCTTACAGTACTCCATGATGAAAAGTTACTTTTTTTTTGTATATATATTTATTGAAGTATAGTCAGTTTACAATGTTGTATCAATTTCTGGTGTACAGCATAATGTTTCAGTCATACATGAACATACATATATTCTTTTTTGCTATAAGTTACTTTAAGATATTGAAAATAGTTCTCTGTGTTATATAGTATAAACTTGTTGTTTATCTATTTTATATATATATATTAGTATCTGCAAATCTGAAACTCTCAATTTATCCCTTCTTATCCCCTTCATCCTCAGTAACCATAAATTTGTTTTCTATGTCTGTGAGTCTATTTCTGTTTTGTAAATAAGTTCTTTTGTCTTTTTTTTTAGATTCCACATATAAGTGATATCATATGGTGTTTTTCTTTCTCTTTCTGGCTTACTTCACTTAGAATGACAATCTCCGATTCATCCATGTTGCTACAAATGACTTTAATTTATTATTTTTTATGGCTGAGTAGTATTCCATTATGTAAATATACCACAATTTCTTTATCTAGTCATCTGTTGATAGACATTTAAGTTGTTTCATGTCTTGGCTATTGAAAATACTGCTGCTATGAAAATTGGGGGGTTCATGTATCTTTTCTTACTTTCTTTTTTTTGATTTTTAAAACTTTGTTTTATTTTGTTTTTCCACTCTTTTTTTTTCTTTTTTCACGTATCTTTTCAAATTAAAGTTCCCTCTGAACCCAGGAGTGAGATTGCTGGATCATATGGTAAGTCTATTTTTAGTCTTTTGAGGAATCTCCATACTGTTTTCCATAATGGCTGCACCAAACTAGATTCCCACTGGCAGAGTAAGAGGGGTCCCTTTTCTCCATACTCTGTCCAGCATTTATCGTTCATGAACTTTTGAATGATGGCCATTCTGACTGGTGTGAGATGATACCTAATTGTAGTTTTGATTTGCATTTCTTTGATAATTAGTGATACTGACCATTTTTTCATGTGCCTATTGGCCATTTGTATGTCATCATTGGAGAATTGTTTGTTTAGGTCTTTTGCCTATTTTTGCATTGGATTGTTTGTTTTTTAATTATTAAGTTGTATAAGCTGTTTATATATTCTAGAAATTAAGCCCTTGTCAGTTCCCTTTTGCAAATATTTTCTCCCATTCCATAGGTAGGTTGTCTTTTTGTTTTGCTTATGGTTTTCTTTGCTGTGTGAAAGCTTATAAGCTTAATTAGGTCTCATTTGTTTATTTTTGCTTTTATTTCTATTGCCTAGGTAGACCGCCCTAGGAGAACATTGCTGAGATTTATGTCAGAGAATGTTTTGCCAATGTTTTCTTCTAAGAGGTTTATAGTGTCTCGTCTTCTGTTTAAGTCTTAATCCATTTTGGGTTTATTTTTGTGTATGGTTGAGGGAGTGTTTTAACTTCATTAATTTACATGCAGCTGGCCAGTTATCCTAACGCCATTTGCTGAACAGACTGTCTTTACTCCATTGTATGTTCTTGCCTCCTTTGTCAAAGATTAATTGATCAGATTTTGAAATACAAAACCAGTGTTTTATAATTGTACACTGTTTTAAAGTCTATTAAAACTGTCATTAAAAAAAAGATTAATTGACCAAAAGTTTATGGGTTTATTTCTGAGCTCTCTATTATGTTCCATTGATCCATATGTCTGTTTTTGTACCAAAACCATGCTGTTTTGATTACTGTAGCTCTGTAGTATTGTCTGAAGTCTGGGAGGGTTATTCCTCCAGCTTCATTCTTTTTCTTCAGTATTGCTTTGACAATTCTGGGTCTTTTGTGAAGAAGAAGTTACATTTTACTCTCTTATTAGATTAATTTCTATGTGGGCTCAAAGGGACCATTAGATTTCCTCTTTATTCCTGAGTCATAACATTATCCAAAGGTATCTCATGGTCTTATTCATGAAAGTTCAGGGCCAGTGCTGCCAAATGAAATTATTATTGTTTCCTGCTTCCTATCTATGAACCAAATATACTTTCTCATGATTAAAATTAAAGCATAGCAATGTCAGGGAGAAATTTTCCTTTACCCTTCTAGGTTCTTCTGGCTGGTCTAAGAAGTAAATTGACATGAGATAGATGAACAGGAGAAAATCACACAAAAGTTTCATAACATGTATACACGGTGGAGACCCAGGAAAACCAAGAAACTTGCCAAAATCGTAGAAACCCTCACCTCTAATACCACTGTCAGCTGAAAAACAAAAGAGACTCTTGAGGGTAATGGTTTGGGACTTCTAAAGGGAGGAAGGCAGTTCACATGGATATGGAAAAGCAAATGTTCGGTAAATGTTTGCTGGGCCATGCAGTGATAGTAGGATACAGAGTGAATTGTGGCCTCTAGGCCCTGCCTGGAGTGTCCTCCACCCCACCACACATAGCCCATATTCTTTGCAGATCTCTCTAGTGATAGCTCTATTCCAACAGACCCTCTATCTAAATTCTTTAGGCAGCTAAGGGAGAGGTAAAAAGAAGGACTTTCGTTTCTTAAAAATAATCCTCATGCCAAAGAGATTTTGGGGTGGTAAATTTTGCTCTCCTACAGCAATTAGCTCAGAATAAAAAGTTGAGATCTTATTCCTTAAAAGATAAGTATATAAAGCAAAAGATTTCATGTTGTATTAAAAGAAGATTTATTGTATTGTTGAAATCTTCAAAGCTTTAGGAAAAACGACAGTATAATTTATCAGTTAGAAATTGTCTTTATCTGATAAGAAACCTGAAATAACAGTAGCTTAAAGCAAGATAGAGCTTTATTTTTTCTTATGTTATATAGCATAGAGGGCAGGCAGTCCAGGGTTGGTGTGATGTCTCCTCATCACCAGAGATTCTGACTCCTTAAACTTTTCTGCTCTGTCATCCACTGAGCAGAGATTCCATCCTTAAGTTTACCTCATTGTATAAGACTGGGCTGTTGGAACCATCCTGTCTGCATTCTAGGCAGGAAGCAGAAGAAGGAAAGCAAGGGGCCACATCAGCTATCTGTTCCCATTTCAAAGAGCCTTTCTAAAAGGACTTTCAACAGTTTCCATGTGTATGTATTTTATTAAACATCTGGCCATACCTGTCGGCAATACAGATTAGAAGTGTGGTCTTCCAGCTGAATACACTGTTTTCAAGAAAACAAGAGAACCTGAAATTAGGCTGGCAACTAGCAGTTTCTCTTATATATAAAAACTAAGGAATTCAACTTTTATATCTGAAGTAGGCATGCGATAAATGATTCAAGGTTAAACTGTGTCAGGGTAAATAACACCAGGGAATGGGATGGACATAGGAACATATTCACTTGACAGTTTTGTTGTCACCTGCTATTAAATCTTGCCATTGACATAATAATGATTAAAAACCAAACTTTTTCCTATTTCAGTTGTTCTTGAAACAAATATTTAAATGTCTCCCATATGCCAGGCACTGTTTAGATGCTTGAGATAGATCAGTAAACCAAGATTCCTGCCCTTGTGTAGATTCTAGCAGGAGTATGTAGACAATGAACAGTAAGTCAGTACTTCAATGATGAAGACATAACATAAATTTCAGGTCTTAAACCACACTTTGTAGCACACTAGATCTGTCTTAACTATCTTCTGTCAAATGACCAAACTAAAACCATTTAGTTAGATTTGATATCCTTTGTTCAAGGGAACACAGTCCATAGGTTGGGGGAGGACAGTGCTTCCTGAGCAGTGGAGAATTCTGCCCAAGGGACTTTGAACAAGTTTTCTAGAGCTTTCAAAAGAGCAAGTGGAAACAGGGCGTGATTGGCCAGGAGGTCAGGGATTTCCTCGTAAGACTGGCATGTCCTAGTTCCTAGGGTAAGGTGAGCTGGCCAAAGCCAAACTGGAGGACAGTGATTGGTGTCTGTTAGGTTTCCTTGACAGGGAGACGTTGTGGTAAGTGCAGACTAACTTAGGTTTAAATTTATGACATGTGGAGGGTCACTGGGGTGGCCTCCATTTTGTGGGTCCCAATATACCAATTAGCTTTTTATCACTTCTCAACATATATATAAATTGCTACAAGTTTTTGGAAACATACAATGAA